TGAAATCTAACAATTGACTCAAACAATCAAAATCAAATAGTTAACTCTAAATATTAATGGAAACAATCTCAGGTGACTTCTTCATCAAAGTACATTTTCGAAAATGCGAAAACAGTGTTCAAACTTGCTTTGATTCAAAAATCTGCCTGTCGTGAAGTATCTTCTTGGACATAAAATTTCATACGTTTTTCTGCCGAAAAAGTTCTAATCTATTACATTTAAAATTCTACTAAAATTTATAATTATAAAACTTAGATTAATTGATAATTACGAAATTCAATTATGCTATTATAAAAGAGAAAGTGAAGTTGGAAATTATTATAACAATTATTAATTATTAATTATTTTAACAAAATACATTACTTGTATATACATCAATAAATAATAACTGCACCTTTCATAGCAACGAAGTCGGAGGGTATTATCCGACTTCTCTACTACGAAATACACAAACGAAATCATTTTAATAATAATTATTTATAATTTATTTATTCATATGGATATTTTGCTTTTGCAAACATTTTACATTGAATATATTTTGATTTTACAAGTAATTACTATAACTGTACATGTCAAACTAATTGTTAAAATCGCGATGTGTAAGAAACCTTATCCTAATCTAATAAATAAAAAACCTGAAAAAATGTTACTATGTTACTATAGTATAAAAAATGACCTATGGTCACTATGCTTATAAGAAATTCTATATATACAACCAGTCACCCGTATCGACTCAGACCTTTCATCCTACGACATGATTGAGTGACCGGAAGAACAAAAATGCCTGCGACTCACTAAGGAAAACATTATTGATGCTGCACTGGACCAAGGAAAGTCATCGTGAAGATCCTCATCAAGCACATACCACTGGAGAATCCCATGGTAGAATTGAACTCCACGAAAAATTTCTAAAAGGCATAAAGGCACAGTGTTATTTATGATAATTTAAATTTTAATAGCGATAAAAATTGAGATTTTAATAATTTGACATGTTTTTATTTTATATAATTTTATATTCGACTTCAGTAAAAAGAGAACTACAAAGAATAGAATTAATTCAAATACAAAATATGCTAAAGTATTTACATTTTTAGCTCTTGAAGCGTCATAAGATTCTTCTTCGTCATAAGAAAATAAGAGGAACTGAAGACTGTAAAAGATTCTTACATTCTTGGCTTTGGATTAGAGCCGTTGGATTTTGCACAAAATATGACAAAATTGATGTTATGAAACATCTGTAACAGAACATCAAACATTATACTTGTTGTCAAATTTGAAAAATTAAGTAAATTGAAGTATATATCTTGATCTCTTGGAGAGGTCTTATCCTCTTGAGTACTGACTCCAATATATCGAAAACGAATGTTAAATAAGAAAAAATACAAAAAAAAAAAAAAA